TTTCTATCAAATCGTGTAAAGTGGCCCATTCGCAAATTTTCAAATGACCAAAGATTCCTGGGTGGATGCTCAGTGGTCAGAGTATAACTGAAGGTATAGCTGATAGATAATTGCGGGAATTTGTATAAGACTGGTAGGGTGACCATGTAATGAAGGCAATGACAAGTTGTGGAAAATAATGTCACCTGAATCGGACTGATGATGGTCATCTTGGAGGATTACGGAAGAGGTTGGTTGGGAGCGTATGGTGATTGTTGTATGTAGACTGAAAAGAAAACGTCTTCACACATGATACACTAATGATTCATATTACAGGAGTGGTAGAGTCAAATAATGATAGAGTACGTTACATGTTGAATAGAGCGAATTTTTGAGTGTATGTTACGTCCTGGAGGTATGGGGGTGTTGTTCTCTTGATAAGTTACAATGTTGAGAATGAAAACAACTGCACAGTGTGCATTTTATTAAATTGCAGTTGTGAAATAGCGGGTAATGTGCCAAACACTCAGAACAATATCGACAGGACTGATCATTCCACAGATAATGAATTACTCGTGTTCTGACCTCAGAGTTTGCTTCTGCAGTGGTTTTATAGATTTCTTCGAGGTTGGATAACGTCAAGTGTTGAAACAGTGTTAAGATTCAGTCGGAGGATTGCATAATTGCGTTCTGGTTGACACAAGAGGCAACAAGAGGCAACTACACTTTATCATCTGGATACTAAACTACTGAGGACTTGCAAAGTGAAAGCTCATTCTTCCTGAGAAGGCCTTACTGACGCGTAACAAAGTTACTGCACTTTGTCTTGATACAAACTTTCCTCAAAACAGAGGTCAGGGTGTTCCTTGTTCAATTTGATCCTCACCCTAAATCAAAAGTGTTGAGTTAATTTTCATGCGAAACATTTGAGGAAATGCTTCATTTTTCACCCAAAGACCTGAAACATTTAATCCACTATTCACCACCAAATTTCCACCCCCCCCTCCACCGAAAACCAAAGTTTTTTATTCGGAACTGTGAACTCTTTCAAATAAGTCTGCTTTTGTATTTGAAACACAGACTGGTGTGTACTGAGGATTACTGGAAGCACTGGATAGTTGGTCTTCATGAAACTAGCATCCTGACATTCAGAATTACACCCTGCATCACCTTGAATTTAGGGATTACCATACTGATCAAATCCAGTTAATCAGGAATAACACGAATTATGAACAGTGGCCAACAGCTAAAATTTTCTACAAGGAAGATGATAGATCTTCACCTTACAATAAAGTCTGAAAGCTAAGCAGAAAAGGAACTGACCAGGTTTTTCAATGGTTCTCTAAGCAATGTCAGCTCATGATGAAATCCTGTAACCGAACTGCCTTTTCTTGGTCATTTCGGGTGGAAAGACAAAGTACGGGTAGAAGTCACTTGAACAGTAAAGTGGCTGATAAGCTTGAACAATTAACGAGCATAAGCTGAGGTGAAACAAACAAGTATTGAGCTGAAAACCACAGACAGGTGTAAATACATCAACATACAACAAGCAGCCAATAGACTGTACTGTTGTCATGGTTACCTTGAAAGAACCAAGTAATTTCGAATAAATGATGAAAGGCATTTTTACCATTTACACTTATTCGGTAGTCTTACGCAAGAAATGCTTCCGGTAAATATCCCTGAAACTAATATGGAAATTGTTGAGGTTAGAAAAGTGAGGGTGCTGATATTCCATCGGAGCTTTCCAGGCTTCTTTAGTTTTCATTGTCTAATCTGACAAATTCAGTCAGATGCTAGCTAACGCGCAATTTCAGTGGACTGAGTATATTCCTCATACTGCTGGATGAACTAGAAGATAGGCGCGAAAAATAAGAGACTTCTTTGAAACCCTTTGATTTGCAGATAGTAAGGGATTGGAAACGAATGCTTCGAAGACGTTTAAAAAGCACTTGTATTTTCATGAAGTTGTCAGTGAGCAACACCTCTTGTGAAGGTCCTAAGGATACTGACTCACTGCTTAAATCTCGTAAGACAGAGTGACGTTCAAAGACGTGACTCAGCGATTGAAAGTCGAGCGCATAAACCAATGAGCGACAGCTCCAATGCAATACCTGTATAGGTGAGCGGGATCTTGTCAGATGTCTAACGGAAATTATCTCAGGCATAAAGTGCAGTGATATGTGTTGGTGTTTCACAGGTAGAATATCCAACAGTCATGCGTATAATCTGAGGCTGGATTCCCTGCCAACGCATTCCCATCTAGAAGTGAGAATGATTTGGAGTGAGGCGAGCAACCATTTCCGTGAAAACCACCAATACTGAGAATTCGAAGTTTGAATGTTGAAGCCGAATGTCCAACTTGGAGCGTCAGGGAATATAAAGATTAGGATGTGCTGAGTCCTACCATTGTGGTTGTCCCTGAAACATGACTTGTCTGTGATTTGGATGAGATGTCTGAAGCGTGTGTACACCATAGATATCGAGAAGCAGGCTTCACCTGTATTCTGAATGGTCGATACTGACTCGAACATTGGAGACCGAAAGATCATCAACATCGAATTATTATTTGTCATTAAGAGAAGTGATTTGTCAAGGTGATAGTGAAATTGGTGTTAAAGACACAACCAATTTTCGTTCAGTAATATGATAATGGAATAGTCTCACCACATTATACTCATAGAATGAAACAGTGATCTTCATTATAATGTGAAACGGATAAATTTGAAAAGTTTGAGTAACCAATGCACAGTCATTTTACTGTGAACTTATCTGCGTTTATGGCGGGAAATGCCAGTGGCATTGCAGATTGTGTGACTCTGTAGTCAAACATCATGTAGAAAAAATAATAAGGCTCTAATCTGTGAAACAACAGACGTCAGTGCTGGATAGATTGATGAGTCGGTTGTGAGGCCAGCGACTAACAAGAGATATTCACCAGTGGAACACAAGATATTCAGACAGAAAATTGATTCCGTTAACTATAATAATAATAATGATTTACTTTATTCCGAAAACAGTACTTGTGATACAGAATGGAATTTTCAGCATTAATCACAATATTGTGAGCATACAGTTTTCTGAAGTTACTTCTTGTTCTACCTGAGAGGATGCAAGGTGAAAGCTGAGGGTGGAGCGGATGCTCCAAGTGAGACAAAATCCCTCTAGTACATTTATTGCACGAGGTCAAGTGCCAATCAACAACGACGTTAGTTATGTGGTCCACTGGAACACCACTCATCCTACTGACCTTCTTCAGCATTCTACGAATTGTGACATAGTCCTTTTTAAGCAAACCAAAAGGGAATAAGGGTGAACAATCAAGAAGAATAGGTAGTATGCAAGAGTTTATGAACTGTAAGAGGAGGGGTTGAGTTATACCCGATAGCCTTAGCTTCTCAATGTAAAAAGTCAGGCGGAATATTTTACTGGAGATCGCTAAGACATGGGAAGACCAGGAGAGATCAGAAGTGAGAATAAGTCCAAGATACTTAATTTCTGATTTAATTCCTATATCATTGTAGTCAATCTTACAACTGTTATGAGTCACTACGGAATTAAATCAGGAATATACATATTACCTGGGTTATGCTTTGATTATTTATTTGAACTTATGTTATTCACTGTGATTGCGAGAATAAGTCACTTTGTCTGCAAATTCATTCTAATTTTGATACCTGACTCATTTGAACCTCATATATATTAGTGTCAGCACTTTCCTATGGTTACTATGATTATCTTTCATCCGACAACCGAAACCAACTCAAAAGACGCCATCAAAAAGCTAAATTGTGAATGTCAAAGTGACGTTAAGTAGCGGAGATCCTAACATCACTTACTCGCTCGCACCCTACTTTTCTCCTATTTTCTTCTTATACTTCATTCAACTCATAGTTTGTTAACTGCATAACGCAGTGGTTTACTCACTGCGGTTTCATTGTCATTTCGTTGTCTCAAGTAGATGAAAAAACATTCAATTTTCGTGATTTAAATGAAGCCTGAAT